TCTTTCTCTTTAAATGTATGTTTCTGTTTCTTTCTTTCTTTCTTTCTTTCTTTCTTTCTTCCAACCGTTTCCCAATATCTCCTTACTTCTTTCTCTCCTCTTTTCTTTTCTTTCTTTCTGTCGTCTTGCTTTCGTTTTGAAACAGTTTCTTCTTCTTTTCTTTTTTTTCTTTTTCCAACATTTCTTTCCTTCTTACTTCCTTTATCGTTCCCCTTCTTTCTTTCTTTCTTTCTTTCTTTCGGTTTCCAACATCCGTTTCTTTCTTTCTTTGTTTTTTTTCTGTCTTTATTTCGCTTTCCAACATCCATTTGGATTCTTTCTTTCTTTCTTTCTTTCTTTCTTTCTTTCTTTCTTTCTTCCAAACGTTTCCCAATATCTCCTTACTTCTTTCTCTCCTCTTTTCTTTTCTTTCTTTCTGTCGTCTTGCTTTCATTTTGAAACAGTTTCTTCTTCTTTTCTTTTTCTTTTTTCCAACATTTCTTTCCTTCTTACTTCCTTTATCCTTCCCTTCTTTCTTTCTTTCTTTCTTTCTTTCTTTCTTTCTTTCTTTCAACATCCGTTTCTTTCTTTCTTTCTTTGTTTATTTCTGTCTTTATTTCGCTTTCCAACATCCCTTTGGATTCTTTCTTTCTTTCTTTCTTTCTTTCTTTCTTTCTTTCTTCCAAACGTTTCCCAATATCTCCTTACTTCTTTCTCTCCTCTTTTCTTTCTTTCTGTCGTTTCATTTTGAAACAGTTTCTTCTTCTTTTCTTTTTTCTTTTTCCAACATTTCTTTCCTTCTTACTTCCTTTATCCTTCTCTTCTTTCTTTCTTTTCTTTCTTTCTTTCTTTCATTCTTTCTTTCTTTCTTTCTTTCGCTTTCCAACATCCGTTTCTTTCTTTCTTTCTTTCTTTGTTTTTTTCTGTCTTTATTTCGCTTTCCAACATCCCTTTGGATTCTTTCTTTCTTTCTTTCTTTCTTTCTTTCTTTCTTTCTTCCAACCGTTTCCCAATATCTCCATACTTCTTTCTCTCCTCTTTTCTTTTCTTTCTTTCTGTCGTCTTGCTTTCATTTTGAAACAGTTTCTTCTTCTTTTCTTTTTTCTTTTTCCAACATTTCTTTCCTTCTTACTTCCTTTATCCTTCCCCTTCTTTCTTTCTTTCTTTCTTTCTTTCTTTCTTTCGCTTTCCAACATCCGTTTCTTTCTTTCTTTCTTTGTTTTTTTCTGTCTTTATTTCGCTTTCCAACATCCCTTTGGATTCTTTCTTTCTTTCTTTCTTTCTTTCTTCCAAACTTTTCCCAATATCTCCTTACTTCTTTCTCTCCTCTTTTCTTTTCTTTCTTTCTGTCGTCTTGCTTTCGTTTTGAAACAGTTTCTTCTTCTTTTCTTTTTCCAACATTTCTTTCTTTCTTTCTTTCTTTCTTTCTTTCTTTCTTTCTTTCGCTTTCCAACATCCGTTTCTTTCTTTCTTTCTTTGTTTTTTTTCTGTCTTTATTTCGCTTTCCAACATCCCTTTGGATTCTTTCTTTCTTTCTTTCTTATATTTTCACAGCTTCTCTTATTTTTCTTCTTTCTCTTTAAATGTATCTTTCTTTCTTTCTTTCTTTCTTTCTTTCTTTCTTCCAACCGTTTCCCAACATCTCCTTACTTCTTTCTCTCCTCTTTTCTTTTCTTTCTTTCTGTCGTCTTGCTTTCATTTTGAAACAGTTTCTTCTTCTTTCTTTCTTTCTTTCTTTCTTTCTCTTTCCAACATCCGTTTCTTTCTTTCTTTCGTTTTCCAATATTCATTTCTTTTTTCTTTCTTTCATTTTCCAACATTCTTTCTTTCTTTCTTTCTTTCTTTTATGTTTTTCTTCAAATTTCCTTCTTTCTTACATTTCACCGCTTCTCTTATTCATCTATTCTTTCCTTCAAACGAATTCTGATCATTTTTTATGTTTCTTTTTATTGCGTTTCTTTACTTTTTCTTCTTTCGTTTTGTCTTTACTAATTTCTTTCACGCATTGCATTCTTCTTCTTTTTCTTCTTTATCTTCTTCGTTTTCTTTCAAAGCAATACCAATTTTTCATTTTTTTTCATTTTTTTATTGTTGATTTTTTCCATCGATTTAATTTCATTTTTTTTCATTTTCGCTTATATTTAATTCCAATCTTTCTTTCAGTTCAATTTTAGATTATTTATTTTTGCTTCTTTTTTCTTTCCTTTATCTTTCTTTAACTCATTTTCATATTCTTTCTCTCTCAAATTTCCTTCCATCTCTCATTTTTCTAGCTGTTCTTTCGAAGTAGTTCTGTCTTCCTATTTCCTTCGTTCCTCGACATCATAATCAAAATCTCTCCCTATTATACTGCAATTCTTTATGATGCTTTTTCAGTTTTCCTCCATTTACATTAATATTTCATTATCAAGTTTCACCAATATCCTTTCTTTTATATTTCTCTATTTCCTTTTCATTTTTCAAATCAATTTCTTTCTTTCGATCTTTTTCCTTATTTAACTCGTTCCTTTTTGCTTATTGATTAAAACCCTCATCTCCAAAGAAAATATTAAGATGTGGGGGTGACGACCCATTTTTTTTAATAAGCTATGACCCTTAGCAAAAAGACTTTTAAAAAGATTTAATTGGACCTGGTGCTACCTTACCTTCCCACACCATTCAGACGCCACTGAAACCTTATAAATTTCCAAAACACTAGAGTACATTTGAGGATGATGTATACATTCCTACGTAAACATCACATATACAGAAACACATGCATATAAGCACAGACTATATATATATATATATATATATATATATATATATATTAAATAAATTAAAATAAAGATTTAAGTAAAAGAGATTACCTATCTAGAAACAGTCACGAGTTAAATTCATGAACAAAATTTAAACGGATAGAGATGTCAACTTAATAATCAATAATAATTTTTTTAAAGAGATTAAATAAAAAAGATTACTAGAAGTAAACTTATATTTTAAAATAAAATTTTGTACTTTCTAGGAATATTTTTCTAATCAACTATTTCATAGAAAATCCCCAAAATTTAAAAAATATTTAAATCACTAACAAACATCAAATTAAATTATTTTTAGACAGTCTAGAAACATTCAAATTCATATCAATTATAATCTTTATGAGCCCCCAAAATAAGACTTTCAAAGTAAAGCAAAATAACAGCGTCTGTTTCTAGCCTTTTTTTTTACAAAGAAAATTAGTGACATCTTCTCTCTTAACTTCCTTCTCTCTTTTTCTCTCTATGTGTTTTTTTTCTCTACCCCTTCGATATCAATATATAACTTCCGTTAAGTTAACCGTTTAAATGTGTCAATATCTGCTAACTCACTCATCTCTTCTCTCTCCCCCCTCACTTCCTCACTTCGTTAATTTACATATGTTTAATACGGCCCGTCAAAAATGTGTAAATTTTCTTTTCATTTTTTGTTTGGAAGTAAAGTCTAATGATTCGCAGTCATTTTAAAAGGGCTGTGGTGAAATAATTTATTACATGGAACCTTAAAGTGGTCTGTTTTTATTTAAATTATTTGCTCTGGATTTACTTTGAGCTCTCTGGATTTTATCCTCCTTAGGTTTACCTATACGGATTACCTAGTTTTTTTCATAAACTATATATATATATATATATATATATATATATATATATATATATATATATATATATATGCATAAACATATATTGATAAATATAACAAACAATAAATGTCCCGTCCTGAGTAAGACGATAAATTATGTCCAACATCAAAGCCTCTGATCAGTACGTTTTCATGAGCATAGAGCCACCTCTTAATTACTGTTGTTCCCAGATACACCCTGATCCAGGGTGGTAGTACCTGTTAGGGTCCGAACTATGGGCAAATAGCTAGCCCCTAAACTGTGGTTAAAACATCATGAAAGTATAAAAATAGGTTTTAAACCAAGCAATACATTTTAGTAAATAATTATTACCAGCAAAGAATTTTTGAAAGAAATATTATCAGCAATATATTTTTGAAAAAAAATTATATTACCAGCAATAGACTTCTGAAAAAAAATATTACCAGCAATACATTTATGAAAAAAAAGAAAATTACCAGCAATACGCTTCTGAAAAAAATATTACCAGCTATATATTTTTGAAAAAAAATATTACCAGCGATACATTTTTGAAGAAAAAATATTAACAGAAATAGAATTTTGAAGGAAAAATAATATTACCAACAATACATTCTTGAAAAAAAAATATTACCAGCAATAAAAATTTTGTTGGCATTAAATAACACATTGAAGTTGATAGGCCGTAAATCAAACCAAACCAATAAATGAAACCAAGCCAAACCAATAAATGAAACCAAACCAAACCAAACCAAACCAATGAATATTATCTTTAATTGTGTATATCTTTGTTTAAATGTCCGCATGAAAAATGTGAAGATGGCTCATATGAGCCGAAAGTTTATATTGGGGAACAGCTGAATAAAAAATATCCAAACATTGAACAATTTTTTTCTTTATTTTCACCTGAAATTATAGCAAATAAACAGAGTTTAGGACGACTTATGATCAGACATTTATTATATTATTTGTTATATTTAACAATATATGTTTAAATAAATATCTGCTGCTCCAATACACTATATATATATATATATATATATATATATATATATATATATATATGTGTGTGTATATAAAACACTAATAATCTTATAAATATAAGCAGCTATACTCGTCCGGACAAAACCTTAGGTATTTTAGCATGTAAATATCAAACCAATATCCAAGGGTAAAAAAAGATCAGCCAATCTAACAGTGACATCATCCCACAATCTTCACTCTTGCTCCATATGTGGCCTCCTTTGCAAATCAGTAGCGGGGACTTAAGAGTCACTTAAGTTTATCGCACAAAAAGCCTAACTGAATCAATTGGTTAAGTTGTCAGATGCTCATACGTCGAAACCGAAGGGAGAGTCCATTATACATACATACACACACACACACACACACACATATATATATATATATTAGATCAATTCAGAAATTCTTGCCCGATTAGAAAATTAAAAAAAACTACATACTGACAAAAAAAAAAAACCTTTATTAGTCAAGTACGTAGTCTCCATTGTTCATAACAACTGTCTCCCATCGTTCGACAGTCTTGTTAATACAACTTGCATAGCAAATTCTTGTTTATTCCTGAAAAATAGAGTGTGAGGTAGTTTTCGACTCACTGTACAAAGACAACTTTTTTGTCGTTCAAATTGTTATATAAAGATCGAAACAATTAAAACTCTGAAGGATCCAAATCAAATGAATAAGGTGGGTGATGGAGGGTGGGGTACCATTTCAACTCTTTAAACTTCTCCAGGGTTTGTTTTGCAAGATGCAGTCCTGCATTGTCGTGGTGGAAAATGACTCTATTTCGATTTGCAAAAATCAACCGTTTTTGCTAGAATAGCCGCCTTGAGATTTGTGAGTTAGTCGCAATACTTCTTTGTTTCGCCGCTTTAGCCATGGATTCTGCATATCCAAGTGTTTGTTCCAGTTCCGTTTGTCGAACCTAATCATAAACGATATATTTTTCATTGCTTGTGACAATTCTGTCCAAGAACAAAGCCCGTTTCGTCACGGAACAGTAAAGGAATCGTGACAGAAAGACGATCGATCTTGTTCTGGTCTATCAGAGAATGCGGCTCCCGGATGTAAAGTTTGGAAAGGAACGCAAGTCTCTTCAAATGACAAAAGACAGTTGACATATGGATTTTTAAACTCTTAGAAGTCTCTTCCGTTTGAATGTTTGGTTTATTAATGCATCATGTTAAGCAGAGACTCTTCACCGACGTCGTATCGTCCTGGGTATGACGATAAACTACATCCGCGTCCTGGATAAAACGATAAACTATAAAGGCATCTGATCATGAAATTTTGGGGAGCGTGGAACCACCTCTTAATTGCTGTTGGTCCCGTGTCCACTCTGACCCGGGGCGGTAGCACCTGTCAGGGTCTCATCTATGGCTAAATAGTTAAACTCCAAAACATTATGAAAGTGTAAAATAGATTTTAATACTAGAAATACTTTGTAGAAAATTATTACAAGCAATACATTATTAACTGCAATGCATTTTTGAAAATGAAGAAACAAAAGATTACCAGCAATAAAAATCAGGTCGGCATTAAATAACCCACTGAGGTTGATATGACGTAAAACAAATGAAACCAAACCAAACCGACGTCGGAATATGGCCAGGAACCAGGCTGATCGTTTAGGTTAAAATAGGAATCGTCAAACGGGATATGAACGACCCCCCATATTTCATGAGGAGTTTCAGGAAGTCGGTGATTGTCAAAACGTTGAATAGGGGTTAGTGTTCGAATGGCAATGAACTAAATTTTAGTTTAGTTGTATTGTTCAGTACCGGGGAAAGAAAGTCAATGAGCTCCACGAACGACAGAATCAAAAAACTTAGTAACTTCTATCCAAGTAGCTTTGACCTTATTTTGATGAGATTTATTTAATGCTACATTGAGCATTGCTTACTCTTTTTTAATTGTTCCAAACTGATTTTCAGATAACAATTCCCTTTTCTCAACCGCTAACTGCAAAAAAAAAAAAAGAAAAAAAAAAGTGTTTATGATTATGAAGTTCATTTGGCCGAATTGGTAAGATTTCATCAAGTAAGATGCAATAGTTAGTATAGCTGTGCAGTTGGATATTGTAGAGGTTTTGCTGGAAAATTCTGAACCTGATGACCTTTGTGATGTCAATGAACACTCGTTGCCACTTTCGTAATGTTCGTTGTAGTAGAGACTTTGTAATCGCAGATACAACTATAGTACGCCCTTAAACAATACTGGTATCAGACGCCTTCGAATGTCACTCGCACTAATAGTACTTCCTTGATAATATTCGCTCGAACAGTAACCCTTCTTCGGAACCCTTCCCTTTATATATATATATATATATATATATATATATATATATATATATATCATACTATTTCCCTTATTATGTTCTTGATATCTAAAAAATATATATCGTTATCTCATTTTATATATATATATATATATATATGTGTGTGTGTGTGTGTGAAAAATATATAGAAAATAGGAAAGAACTCGTTAGGTAAATAATCCAAAATTCTTTAGTACATTTGTTATTATTTTTAAAAAATAGTGCTCGATACAAAAGTAGAGCATAAATATAATTATTTATTTAAAAATATGATTCCAACCCGCTACATAAGAGTTCTCATGTTTCAAAACAAGAGCCGAAAACTTCAATATAATTATTTGAATTAAATTGAATTAAAGTAAGCTCTGTTCCATTTTCAAGCGAAATTTTTTTTGAATAACTTATTTCTGAAATTTACGCGATTTATAAGCATATTCATTATTGAAATCAAAATTTCTATGGTAACGGCTACAGCAATTGTTTAAAGAAAAGGGGCGTAAGGTGTTAATAACTTGTATCAATATCTATATCTATCTATCTATCTATCTATCTATCTATATATCTATATATA